ATATATATATATATATATATATATATATATATATATTAAGAATATTGGTAGAAGATTATTAAAAAAAAAAAAAATCAAAAGAAATATATATTTAAATTAATATTATTTTTAATTAGTTAAAATAATTTTTTTATTTACTTTTATATCAATGCGAAACACATAAATAATTAAAAATAAATTTTTTTGTAAAAATATCTTACGAAAATCCTATATATATATATATATATATATTTGAAATATATAAAATTTCCCTGTAATATCCATCGCCTTATCCACATTCTTCGCCCTCGAAGTCGAAACAATGGCGACGCTCGAATCTGCAATTCCAATTATCTCTCAATACATTGCTTCTTCTTCTTCCTCTTCTTCTTCTTCTTCCTCGAAATTGTCCTTCCATAAACTTCCCTCCGCCATTAAGCTTCGCATTTCCTTCTCCTCTCCTCTCCTTTCCCTCAATCCCACAACCGCCGTTTCCCCTCTCCCCCTCTTTCTCACAAACCCATGGCGAAATCGCGGCGGCGGCGATCGTTTTTGCTCCGCAGTGCAAGAGGTTAGTTTGGAGGAAGCTTCGGAGGAAAATCAGGATGTGAATCAGAAGAGAAAGCTATACATATTCAATTTGCCTTGGTCTTTCTCTGTCGTCGACATTAAGGAGCAGTTTGGACAATGCGGAACTGTCACTGATGTTGAGGTTCTTCTTCTTTTTCTTTTGTTCATTCTTTTTGTGTGTGTGTGTGTGTGTGTGTGTGTGTGCTGATAATGTCTCTGTATCTGATGAATTTGTGTTGGAATGTGTTTGTACTTGTAGATTATAAAGCAGAAAAATGGAAGGAGCAGGGGATTTGCCTTTGTGACTATGGCTTCACCAGATGAAGCTCAAGCTGCTATTCAGAAATTTGACTCTCAAGTACGTTTTCTTCTACCTATTTCTGCTCGCTTTCTGTTTGGTTATTTGCCCCAATGAATTCTATTCTATTTTTTACTGGTATTCTACCAATAGCTTGTTTGGTTTGGTTCTGAAATTTTACAGTTGTTCCATATTTCAATATGAATTTTGGTATATATAATACTCTTCAGACTTGCTAAACACTTGAAAACTACCTTTGGAATCCTCCATAAGTCCCTTTTTTTTGCTTTTGATATCTGTTAAGTTTCTGGATTGGGTCACAGATTATTATAGGGTGTATCGCCCAAGTCCACAAGTCCACCACTAGCAGATATTATTCTCTTTAATCTTTCTCTTCCGAGTTTTCTCCCGAGGTTTTAAAACGCGCGTACTAGGAAGAGGTTTTCACACCTTTATAAATAATGTTTTGTTCCTCTCTCCAACCAATGTAGTATCTCATAATTTACCCTCCTTTTAGGACCCAGCGTCCTTGCTGGCACACCGCCTCGTATTCATCCCTTCGAGGCTTAGCCTCTTCGCTGACACATCACCCAGTGTCTGGCTTCGATACCATTTGTAACAAGCCCACTGCAAGTAAATATTATCCTCTTTGGGCTTTTCTTTCCGAGTTTCCCCAAAAGGTTTTAGAATGTGTCTGCTAGGGATAAGTTTCCACACCCTGATAAAAAATGTTTCGTTCCTTTCTCCAACCGATGTGGGATCTCACAATCTACTCTCTTCGGGGCCCAGCGTCCTCACTAGCGTCCGATGTCTAGTTTTAATACCATTTGTAACAGCTCAAGCCCACCGCTAGTAGATATTGTCCTCTTTGGACTTTCTCTTTCGAGAGCTTCCCCTCAAGGTTTTTAAAATACGTCTGTTAGGGAGAGGTTTTCACACCCTTATAAACAATGTTTCGTTCCCCTCTCCAACCGATGTGGGATCTCACCGTCCACCCCCTTCAGGGCCCAACGTCTCGTTGGCACTCGTTCCTCTCTCCAATCGACATGGGATCTCACTACCCACCCCCTTTCGGGACCCAACGTCCTCGCTAACACACCGTCTGGTGTCTAGCTTTGATACCATTTGTAACATCCCAAGCCCACTACTAGTCGATATTGTCCTCTTTAGACTTTTCTTTTCTGGCTTCCCTTTAAGGTTTTTAGAACGCATCTGCTAGGGAGATGTTTCTACCCCTTATAAAAAATACTTTGTTCCCTCTCCATCTGATGTGGGATCTCACATACATGGTAGTCATTTTGACTTATATTGGCTCTATACACATAAACACTTCCCTTTCTAACATAGATACCTAGGTTCTGTTCATGGTAAATATTTCATGTTAATATGTTCCATGAAAACATATATATTCTGCAGGAAATATCAGGAAGAGTTATAAAGGTAGAGTTTGCAAAGAGATTGAAGAAGCCTCCTCCTCCAAAACCTCCAGGCCCACCTCCTGGAGAGACTGTGCATAAGCTTTATGTATCCAATCTTGCATGGAAGGCGAGATCCACCAATCTCAGAGAATTCTTTTCTGAAAACTTCAACCCAATTGCAGCCAGGGTTGTCTTCGATAGCCCCTCTGGAAAATCTGCTGGCTATGGCTTTGTTTCTTTTGCTACTCGAGAGGAAGCAGAAACTGCACTTTCTTCATTGGAGGGGAAGGTAATTTACTTGTTCTGATCTTATTGACGGATAAACTTCTGTGTGATTGACCACCCACTCGGAGTGACTTTTCAAATGCTTAAAAACACTTTTTTACGCCCTTCATAAAATTTCAAATAGGCCATGAGTGTTGGTTAATCTTGCAAATTATTCATGTTTGAGTTAACACCCTTAAAAAATGAAAACCTACTAATGCTTACTTTTAAATATCATTCTTTCAATTCCCTCTTCAAATGTCCATATCATTGGTTTGTAATCTATAAAACTTTTTGTTTTTATTTTTTTTTTTGGGCTACCAATGGATTAGCTACCCAAACAAACCAAGATACCCATATTTCTCCGGTATTAATGAAAGAATCTCATTTTGGACTTTGACCTTGTGAGCACCCACTCAAAATAGGGAGGGTGCACTACCATGAGAGAAAGAGCTCTTAACTACTGTACTTCCGGCTACCATTGGATTCTTGGTAGGTAGGATTTTCTAGGCCCCTAGGCTGGGATAGGTTTCTTTCGGTCCATTTTTTGGTAATGATATGTTTATGTAAATAGATAGTTGTAAGACAGATAGTTGTAAGACATTTCAAATATTTGAAACTTGAGGATTGGGAATATGGGAATGTGAGGCAATTTAAAGTACCAGAATTACGATATTGGGTTCAAATCCACTGAAATGGGCCGATGAGCGTTTTAAAATTTGTCAACCTATGTATAGTTTGACTGATTAAAAACATATATCCGTCTATCCATCGACCAAAAAGTCTATGTTTTGGACGTAGAAATGAGTACTAAAAACTTACTAATGATAACATTTTGGCCCCTACTAGCTTTGTACAAGTTCAAATCTCTCCAAACTCTCAACCTAATCAGGTGTAATGTTCCATTTCATTCCTTCCTTACATATTTGAAATGCTTGAGCTTCTCTCTCCTCAGGAGCTGATGGGCAGGCCCCTTCGCCTAAAATTCAGTGAAAGAAGTGTTGTTAAATCAGAAACTCCAAAAGAAGACACTGTTGAAAGCCAACCTGAAGAATCACAGATCCCCTCGGATTCAACATCAGATTGATCGCTCGGTATGCAACTTAGAAACACGATTTTGTTTGAAATTCCAACTACATTTATGATATCTGCTGGTGGAATGATCTGTACATCTTTCTCCTGTTTTTGGTAGCATATTTGTAGTGTCAAAACATTATCTGTCTCCTGAAATTTCTGAATCGATTCTGTTAAGGATATTTAGTAATAAATTATAGTTTACCATATATATTATATTTGATATTTTATTATAAGGCAAATATTAGACATTTGCCTTATTATCATAGGTATCTTTTCATTTATTGTTATTTCCATTTATTACTATTTCCATATCCTTGTAATTTATTTGATTATAAATAAGATAACTTTCACACCATTTAGGTGTGGTGGATTAATCAAACATTCACATGGTATCAGAGCCCTCTCGGTTTAACAACCCCCATCCTTTCTTTTCAATGGCTTTTGAATCCTCTAATCTTCTTCTCCACCACTCCTGCTGGTTTTGACGCCGCAGGGGTAGTCTTCATGGTTGCCGTAGTCGGAGCCGATTGATTACTCTTCGGCTCCACCCTATTGACCTCCAAATCACCTTTCGTCATACTCTGTACATATAACCTCACCTTTTCCAACCAAATCGGTTTTCCCCTTGGCCAATATAGTCTCTCTCATTTTCTTCCCAATCAACCTTCATCCTTCACATAAACTCTAACCTAAACCTATCAACCTTTTGCAGAGATTTACCTTCGGAATCTGGGTGCCGCACTGGCCTATTCGCCAACCAAGTTGCCGCCGCCCTTCCTGCCAAAATTGGCTTCTTCGCCCGATGAGGCGACTCTTCCGACTGCCCTTCTCGCCAAAATTGGCTCCTTCGCCCAATGTGGCGACTCTTCCGGCTTCAACATTGTATTTGTCCCTTGCTCTAGGTTTCCCCTTCTACTTCTTGGGGTTAGAAATATTCTCACCAGAGCCAAGGCAGCATCGTCGCTAAGCGACAATCCCTCTTCATGGGTTAGACATATTCTCGCTGAAGCCAAGGCAGCATCGCCGCTGAGCGGCGATCCCTCTGCAATTTTTGATGGCCAAGAACCGGGTTGTTAGCATCTTCATGAAAAGTGTTTCTCAACCTCTTTGAATTTTTCAGATTCAAGCTTCACGTTCGTTTAAATCCGACGCTTAGCTTGCGGTGGGGTGTTAAGGATATTTAGTAATAAATTATAGTTTACCATATATATTATATTTGATATTTTATTATAAGGCAAATATTAGACATTTGCCTTATTATCATAGGTATCTTTTCATTTATTGTTATTTCCATTTATTACTATTTCCATATCCTTGTAATTTATTTGATTATAAATAAGATAACTTTCACACCATTTAGGTGTGGTGGATTAATCAAACATTCACAGATTCCTTAGAGACTTTTTTGTTTTGTCTCAAAAGAAATCCTCTCTTGGTGTTGCATAATGTTAGGTGTGTTATTTTGATGCTTAAAAGTCACCCTTTTAGCAACTGTTTGATTATATGAAACCCTGAGTTTAAGAAATGTAGCCAGTAACTAGCTGTTTGATGCTTCTTCAAGAATTGAAGTTTCATTACCAGCAATGTAACCAGAACGTGTTAATAGTGTCGAAACCTGTAAAATAATATTTCCAAAGCATCGTAAACTGATGGTGATACGAACGAAGGTCAAAGAATTATCATATTTTGAGAGCTAAGAAGCTACCACTAGCTTTAATCACTTATATTCAAGCACTCATGAGCTCGTCAAAGGAAGTTCTAGAAGATGTTGAAGTCTTTTCCTATATATTGTGCAAAGTTCAGATTCAAGTCGATGAACGCATAGTTGAATTTATGGAACTTAGTTCAATTACTAGATAGCACATTTCATTTTATGCACCATTTTAATTGTAATTTCAACTTTTGTTTATCATTTAAGCTAGTTTATAACACGTGAGTTCAGGTTATATTGTAACTCATTTAAATTATTATATTTCATCATTAACTAGTCATTTTAATATGAAGATTGCAGGTGTATTTAATTATCAAATCTATGCAAAGTGTTCTTTTTCATTATAGACGAATTGAAATAAATAGGGTTTCCTGCGAATTTCTTGCGAGCCTCAATCCTTACAAAAATAAGTGGAGAATTTCACAGAATTGGGATGGAGAAGACATCCCGACCCTACCCCGCCTAATTATAGAGTTAGTAAGGCAATATTATAATAATTCAATACTTAATTCTTACCAATCTTAGACAACTTTTAATTATTCATTTAATTAATAGCACTAAGCTTATTTGTCAACTTATAAACACTAAATAACAACATTATTAAAGTTTGCTAATCAAAACTAAATCATAAGTATTTACATTTAAATTATTGGTTGCCCAAAAAGTACACCAAAAAAAGAAAAAAACATCCATTTTTGTACCAAAAATTCAAAGATTGCATTTTGACCAATGGCAATGGTCACACCCCTAAATCTTTTTTTTTTTCTTTTAATTTTTCAATTTTTCAAATTTTAATTTCAATTCAAATTAGTTGACACAGTTTGACTATTATCGTTGAGCTGTTACTTTAGCTAAATTTCATCGACTATGACCACGGCTCCCCCTCTCGTACAAGCTATGTGCTTCGTGTGTGCTTCGTATTTAGAAGTAAATAGTAATTATTAAATTTATAATTTAACAAACAAATATTAAATTATACAAAATATTTATTAATTTTAAAATATCTTTCGATTATATTCTTTGCAAAGCCACGAGAGCTTATGTTCAAAGTGGACAATATCATACCATTGTAGAAAGTCGTGCTCGTCTAACATGGTATCATACCATTGTAGAGAGTCGTGTTCGTCTAACATGGTATCAGAATCATGCCCTAAACTTAGTCGTGCCAATTGGTAAATCCTCAAATGTCGAACAAAGTACTCCAAAAGAAAAAGGATTCAACCCTCCTCGAAGGCATAGTAAAAGATGACTAAGACGCTAAATGAGTCGAGCCTCGATTAAGAGGAGGCGTACTTTGTTCGAGGGGAGGTGTTGGATGAAGAAAAGTACCACGTCCGCTAATTTAAAGAATGATCATGAGTTTGACTTTTCAAAAAATAATTAATTTGAGGGAAAATATATATTTTAAAATATTTTAGGAATAAAAAATGTAATTAAAATTAAAAGAATGGGTAGGTGAGAATAGATTTAAAGCTCCATGTACTTGAGTCGGTTATTTTATCATTGCCCTTGCATCATCCTCTTCCCCTAGCCCTAGTTGAAGCTATATATACCTACCTCGGCTCGTTTGCTTCACAGCTTCCATTTTCTTCTGTTTCAAAGCTTCATTCTTCGTGTTGTTTTCGTTTTCTTTGAAGAATCCTTAGAAGAAGAACTAAACCCTAGATTTCCGAGAATTTTGAGAGCTTTCTTGGGTTTGAATTTGACTGTGTTCTGTTCTGTTGAATCTAAATCTTTCTCTGCGAGTTCTTCTTTCTTGTTTTGATGAGCGTCGTGGTCTTTGGTTCCAGTTCTTAGTGTTCTTTTTTGTTGAGTATCAATGGCGGAACGCAGGTTTTGTATAGGCTATGCTTTGGCTCCCAAGAAACGACAGAGCTTCATCCAAGACTCGTTAGTGAATCTCTCGGCGTCTAGAGGAGTTGATCTTGTTCGAATTGACACTGAACGGCCACTTCTTGATCAAGGTCCATTTGATTGCATTCTCCACAAGTTTTATGGCGTGGATTGGAGGAAGCAACTGGTGGAGTTTAGACTTAAGAATCCTAATGCCTTCATTTTGGACTCGCCGGATTCGATTGAGAGACTTCATAACCGGATTTCGATGCTTCAGGTTGTCTCCGAGTTGAAGATTGATAATCCGGATGAAACGTTTGGGATCCCTAAGCAGATTGTGATTTACGACAAGGAGACTTTGTTTGATCGGCAGGCTTGGGAGGGTTTGAAGTTCCCTGTCATTGCCAAGCCGTTGGTTGCTGATGGAAGCGCCAAATCTCACAAAATGGCGCTCGTATTCAACCATGATTGTTTGAACAAGCTCAAACCTCCAATTGTCTTGCAGGAGTTCGTGAATCACGGGGGCATTATCTTTAAGGTTTACGTTGTTGGACAGTATGTGAAATGTGTGAAGCGAAAATCTCTCCCTGACGAGCCAGAAGTGAAGTTGGGAAATGTAGAGGGATTGTTATCATTTTCGCAGGTCTCGAATATGACTCCTCGTGAGAAAATTGACGATAAGTACTACAAGATGATGCAGCTTGATGATACAGAGATGCCACCGTTGAGTTTCCTCACCGACATCGCCGGAGGGTTGCGGCGCTCCATGAACTTGAATCTTTTTAACTTCGACGTGATTCGAGACTCGAACATTGGGAATCGGTACCTTATAATTGACATTAACTATTTCCCTGGGTATGCCAAAATGCCGGGTTATGAAGAGATCTTGACGGATTTTTTCTGTGATTTAGCGCAGAAGAAAGAGGCAATGAACAGTCCTAACAAGAAGGATATTGAGGACAAGATTGGTTCCGATCGGCGTGGCCCGATGCAGAGTGTTGATCAAGAAATAACCAAGATTTCCATTGATGAGGATGTTGGAGGTCAATCAGTTGACAGTGGAAAGAAAGAATCCCCTGTTCAAGATTGACCATTATTTTGGAAACCCTTCATTCTCAAGCCTGTTTGTGATCTGAAGTCAGCTTGAATTTGCTCCATTCTGGACTGAAGTGAGTTGTTCTACACATTCCTCTAGATAGCCATTGATACTGAAATGAAAAAGGGATATTTTCCTGTTTTTCAATTAGTCTTTTAACTGCATGACTAGATTTCATTTGTGTCCAGTGTTATCATGTATATTCCATCCTAACGTTACCACTGGAGATAGTTCTGAAATACCCGACTACTGATGAGATATATGGAGGTCAAATTGTATCTTGAGGCTTAAGCTTTTTCTCGTTCTAGGATGTCTCTAGCTCATGGATCTTGAATCTTTTAGTGAATTCAATTACTGATTTTTTTGCCCCCCAGACAACTTCTAGTATCATTTTATCTTCTTTGTGTTTGGTAGTGTTGTAATGAGAATGCACTGGTGTTATAGACAAATAAGACATCCTTCCAAACTAATTGTAGAACTTGCTTGTGTTCTGAATCCATGAAACTTCTTTAAGATCTGCCAAGGGAATGAAGTAAGAATAATAGTTGTAGCTCGTTTCGATTTCGTTTATGATATACAGAACGGTTGAATATGGTTTTTAGAGAAATTGATTCATAGGTCCTGAATCTGATTTTGTATGAAGCTTAGAAATTATGATAATCTTGTGTGTAAATGTGAGAACCCACCTCGGGTGGATAGGGAAGTGAAGCATTCTTTATAAGTTTGTGAAAACCTCTCCCTCCTTGGTAGATGCGTTTTAAAACCCTTTAATTTGAGAGGGGTACGAAGCATTCTTTATCACGATGGGGAAACCTTTCTCTAGTAGACATGTTTTAAAATTGTCGGTTTGAGAGGGAAACAAATCATTTTTTATAATAGTGTAGAAACTTCTACCTAGTAGAGGTATTTTAAAACTGTGAGGCTGATGGTGATATGTAAAGGCCCAAAACTGACAATATCTACTAGTTAGTGGTGGGCTTGAGCAATTACCTTGTCTTTTCTTCCCTTTGCTTGTGATTCCTTTCTCCAAATAGGTTCTTTTCGATTAGAATTTTGGTTTAGAACGTGAAATAGATAGACAGAATGGATCTAATATATATATAGTGCAAATCATTTCTCAAGTATTAGCCTTCTGTACTCTTGATTTAGTTCTCTCTTGTGGCTTTGTGGAAGTACCTGGATGTTCCCTTCGATGGACGATTCTTGAGGACTACATATGTGAAATGAAAAGCTTGGCTGTGTTCTTATTTATTATATTACCACACACAAGCACAGGTTATATTGTTAACAATTGTGTGAGAACTGGTTGGGGATATATAGGCATTTTGTTCATTCCATTGATTATCCTCTTTGCATATTGTTTCCAATCACACCCAAAACATTTAGAATAAGAATATATGCATCATCCAAATGTTCCGATATTCAACTACATGATTATACTCGATATGCAATATGAAATTCCGATACATAGGCCTGATCCCTATGTGTTAAGAGGGAAGACCTACTTCTAGTCTAAGAGTTAGCAGCTACTTGTTCGAGTAGCACGAGAATGAACTGTTGGAGAGAATTACGGGCCTTTCTTGTTCTTAATTTACTAACTTCCCTCATCTTCTCAATCGGTATCTTGGTTCATTCGTCTCTCCCTTAGGCTAATATTCTTTGGGCGTCATCGAAAAGTTTGTTTGGAAGGAGAAAAATCATTATTCCTTTATTTCTACTTTTTTGGGCAACTTTCAGCTTTATTAAGTTCAAATTTACTTTTTCCTCTGACTTACAACACAGGTAAAAATTAGATAACCACAAGACATCGACTATATACTTTAATAATAGAATATCACTCTATAAATATAATAATATTAATAGCAAACACTAGTTCAATAATAAGATAATGAATAAGTAAATTGTTTTTTTGGGGAGTTATAAATGACCTAATCTGCCTGGAACTATAGCAACAAAACAAGTCTGCAAGTCGAACAACCCGACTCGCTAAGAGCAAAGGAATTCCTAAACAACCTTACAATCATAGATCTTCTAATTATTATATATATATATATTATATTGTGGATCATAAATTGATTAATCTTCGATGGGTCTTTTAATTTATGGATATATCGATAGATATTTTCATCTTGCCCAAACACCATAGAGTTATAACAAACAATAAAACATGTTGAACTTACTAAGCAGGTTGAACTTATGACAATTTTTTCACTGTATGTTACATATCAAAACTGTGCATATGGACCAATTCAAACATGATTTCAGAAACTTGAAATTTTTATGCATATGATGATCAACTCAGTCATGATTTGAGCAGTAAGAATCAGAAATGTATACTAATCTGTATGGAATTTCGTTGTGAACTACATGAGACAACCGACGTAGCGAGCGCGGGGATATATCCTCTGTAGTTGTGGCCATTGCACAAAGAACTGATCAGCCATGTATAACTTATATAAAATCAAGCCACTTAGTGATAATCTCTTCACTCTTGCAATGCTTTCCACATAAAAAATGGAAGACCACCTAATCCCCATAACCTGCATATTCAGATTCTACCCACTGTTATCCTCTAAAACCATATGATCTTGGAATTGAGAAAAATGCAAAAGAATACAGAGTTCAATGCAGTATTGAACCTTGAATATGAATGCAATTACGCATAGAGGGATGCAGGTACCAGGGCCATTGCAGAGAATCTGCAACAAAACAAAACTGGTTCAAACAAAAACAGGTTCATTAAAGCAAAAGAGGTCATATAATTTGCAGATTGACAGAGAAAAAACATACCACTTGAGGTCTAAGTTTAAGCATTAGCCAGAGTGCGTGCAATGTGGCAATCAAAGTTGTCCAAACAGAAGTGAAATATGATTGTCCTACTTCCCTACTTCTGTAGATCTGCATAAACTGTGCAATCCTGTCTACCTCAGCCCCGGTCTGCAATAAGAAGCGCCGATTCACGAACAAATTTAATACGAAAACTCGCAAAATTATATCAGAGGTTCAAATTTCTATACTTCACATTTGTTTGTACTAAAAAATGAAGCGAACACCGTTTTAAACATATTATTGTTGATGTTGACATCCATAATACTCAGGTAATAGACTCTTCAAAGTTTTTGTTTGAAAACAATAAACAATGTATTAAGAAAAAAATTATGCCAGAAGATCATTGAATTGAAAGAAAAAGCAACAGAAATTTCTGAAGATAGCAGAACAACTCTAAGTTCCGGGGTTGTTTCCTGGATGCTGAGAATAAGGGGAGATAGTAACTTACTATCTGAAGAAAACTAACAAGCTCAAGCTCGAATGATCAACCTACTATTGATCGACAAAGCTCCAAGACAATCCATTGCTAATTTTCTAAAAGAGTTTCACATTTTGTACTGTTTTCCCAAACCACGTGGTACGTACGATGCATGCCACACGTGAGATTCTGATCGTCTTCCTCCTAGTGTTGTTGTCCGTAGTGGGAAGGAAAGTTTTAGGAACAGAGAAGGTCAAACTCTGGGCGGGCTGCTAGGTTTCATCTATGCTATGGTTTCATAAAATTGAACATTTTTTCTTCAACCGGTGTAAAGGAGTTCCTAGCACGAGGGAATGGGCTTTCATTCCAGGAACTATGCACTCAGCTCCTCTCTTGAAGATGCGTACGACAAAAAATAAATAGACTCACCAAGCATAAATGAAAATCCTTCCCCCGACTGTTGACGACCGTAGACCTCGGGAAGAGCACTTCACTTTAAGGCGTGCCCAAGCATTATTAGGGTGGCCAAATTTCTGTTCACAAGTTTGAATGGACTCAATTGGGCCTCTGTTGCTCGAGGTCAAATTAAACTTGGATCGTGGGCATAACCAATTCAGATACAGGGGCTTACGTTGAAGCAACTTTCAATGTGGCCCTTTAATGTATTTAGAGTTCCATTCCTTCTTAGGAACTTAAAAGCGTTGGGACAACAAATTAGCTCAGGCTTTCATGGTTCATCCACCTTACTTTGTAGTTGAGCCGGTTGAATTGGATTCATTTTATGAGAAGCTTTGTTTGGAAGTGCAGAATTTGGGCTAATCAACGCGATGTTGAATATTCTAAAGTGATAGTTGGACTCTCATCTGGTAACATCTTTCTGAATTCTACAGCCAGTGTTATCACAAGTTTCCAGCAAACCACACATTTCCATCTAATTTCCAAGGGTTTCCCTTTGACTCAGAACCACACTATTTTATATGCTTGAGGTTGAGGATCCATTTTCAAGATCAATTTAGTTACCATCTCTTTGGCCGCCACACTACTTCAACTATCAATTCATACAAACTTTTTCATGAGTTACTCCTCTTTTCCGTTGAACGACTCGTTGGAGGTGAGAAGGGCCTTTACTATTCCGTCCCACACAATGTACTACTATCGGCCCTACTAGACAACATCTACCTACAGAAGCTCGATCAGGAGATAGAGAGGATCCGACAAAAGTACAAAATTTCGATTGTTCAGAGAATCATATTGGTTCGATTAAGGACAGGTCGTATTGATGACCAATCAAACTCTAGAGATGAAGCAAGCTACAAAGCCTTAATTGTGGGGAGGGGAAAGGGCTTCCAATGCAAAGAAGCCTTTCATTCCCTCATTTCGCCGTGGCACACCCCACACACACCACCCGGCTCAGGAGGGACCAGAAAACGCCTTCCAATGTCCACGATAATGTTCTAAAAAAAATACATCTTGTTTGAAAATCTCGTAATCATCTCTCTTCATCCTCTTGGAACTATTTTGAGACTTCTTCAAATCACCAAAGCTTCCCCTTCATAAGCATTGTTTTTTCATTAACTTCGTCATCTTCTTGATTCTTTTCTTTTTCATTTTTTTCACTGCATCTTTGATAATAGTTAGTGATCACAACTTTTTGATTGGGGCATTCAAAGATGACGTGATCATACCATTGACACTTGTGGCACTTTCAAGTGTGTGTACAGCCAAATGATGAATGTTTGCAGCCCAAGTCAAAATTCTAATGTGCCAACAACAATCAAACGTCCAATGGAGTCTGCAGAAATATCATCCTATAGTTTCATGTTCTCTATTCAATATACAACAGCAAGTTTATGGCCAGCTCACCATTTTTTTATCTACACTAGCCATTTCTTTAATGATCATTAACTTTTACCATTTAGCCATTTTTTTGGCATTCAAAAAAATCTTAAACTATGATTGATGGCAATAAAGATGATTCTTATCAACATTATCGGCTCTGTTTATTTGTTAACACCAGTGAGATTTTGCCAAATATAGTGACGGTTTGGTGGTCCTTAGTCAAATTTTGTTCTGATGTGATCCTTCGTAGGCCATTTCTACTTGGTGCTTCATAGGCAAGTGTGGTTGTGGTTTGATAGTTTTAAGCCATTGGTGGTGGGTGGGTGTGAGATCTTGGAGAGGGAAACAAATCATTCTTTATAAGGATACGGAAACTTTTCCCTTGTAGAAGCGTTTTAAAACCTTAAGAGGAAGCCCAAAGAGGACAATATTTGTAGCGGTGGGCTTGATCTGTAACAAATAGTATTAGAGTCAGACATCAGACGGTGTGTCAGCGAGGACACTGGGCCCCAAAAAGGGTGTATTGTGAGATCCTACATTGATTAGAGAGAGGAACGAGTGCCAACGAGAACGCTGGGCCCCAACGGTGGGTGGATTGTGAGATCTTGGAGAGGGGAACAAAGCATTCTTTATAAGGGTGTGGAAACCCCTCCCTAACAAATGTGTTTTAAAACCTTGAGAGGAAGCCAGAAGGGAAAACCCAAAAAGGACAATATTTGCTAGCGGTATGAATGGAATTTTAAAAGTCTTTATCCGATGCTCGGAGGGTTGTTCTATTATCCGATGCTTGGAGGGTTGTTCTATTATCCGATACTTGGAGGGTTGTTCCATCCTTAGGGTCATAGGCTATATGGTTCAACTGCATTGCTCAAATTTTAAGGATCATTTTAGCCGGCATAAACGCGAACCCAGTTTCAGCCTCAGTCCAAGTTCCACAACTCAAAGAACGCATAGATCAATATCCCTACAGCCCCACCCAATAGAGTTTCTAGTTTATCAATAGATTGGCAATTGAAAAACTCTGCCCATACAATCCTCTCTCTCGCTTCCTGTCTCAGACAAGAGAAGTTTAAAGACCTTGAAATCATACCTTATCAGCCAGTTGGTTTTCATACGTACGAGCCTTTTGAAGACTCATGTTATCCGTTGCAGCAGCAATGTAGAATCTTGGAGCAAACAAGTCCTTCTGCAGCACAGACAACACATTGAGCATCTCCGCCGTGTGGCCCCCTACATATCCATCCAACAATCAGTGCGATTACATGATTAAATCTACAAGTCAATGAAATTGATGGCTGTCTCACCTGAGCCTAAAACAATGAGGGTACTAACAGGTTCCACTCTTTTGTTTCGAACGGGTCTACCACTCCAATATATGACGTAAAGAACACGACTCAAAATCAAGCTGATACTGAGAATTACGGCAGCAATAGTAATACTAGAATCCATCATAAAGAGAAGCAAACACAAAAATCCTACAAAAAAGAGAGAAAAAGAAACGATAATCAATAAAATAGAAGCGAGATTGAAAGAGGTTGGGCTGCCTCAGTTTACATCACAACATCATGATTCTCACATGCGAGTTACTCATATACAACATACACAGAAAACAAGTAGCACAAGTAACATACTCAAACTTATGAATCTTAAACATATCATGCACCATGCTCATGTCATGCTCACCCATCTATAACTCAAGTCCTCTCAAAACACAACCGACTTCTCACAACTCTTTCTAGCTCTTCGAGTCGCATCAAGCTCTGAACATTTTTACCAGAGCCTCGACACTTCTCTACAAAACTCAGTGTTCGAACCTTGATCATTTTTACCTAAGGCCCCAAACTATGCATCGACCCTTGACCATTTTTACCCAAGGCACACTAATGACTTAGCAACGTATTGACTCTTTTCGAAGTACCCCAATACTTACTTCTATAGACTCATCATACCAACCCTTAACCATTTTTTTCCCCAACAATTCGATGCTCCTTTAGCAAGGTAACATATCACCTTTGACCATTTTTACTCAAGATGCACTAATATTCACCTTCCTTTCCTTTCTAGTCACCTAACTCTTTGCACTAATTAGGCTAACAATCTATATCATGAATTTTAGATATGCATTTATTCCAATAACCACATGAACATACTCCTAACACAAACATGACCTTCCTCCACACCTTCCTATAGAAAGCCCCTCAATAAGCAGATTCAACAAGTGAGAACTCCTTATTGAAAGCACTCCTAGAGTTATCAGAAAAGTTCCTAGACAATAAAGATGATTTCCAAAGCTAGCCTCTAGACTAGAATACTCAAAACAACCAAAGGATGACTAAGAGAGGATTACCAACTAATCTAATCCAAACACCTTAAACGCTTAATGTAGGTCCTAATTCACAGCACTAGGAACAAATTCGAAAGTGTCTTGAACGAATTGTTGCATTGATTCTTACCGAAAAGGCTTGTGTATTCAGATCTGAGTACCCAATCTGAGATCACTCGAGGTTGCGAATATAAAGCAGAACGGGTTCGTTTGTGAGTGGCTGTCCACTGCCGCAAGGAGGTATTTGCGTTGAAAATCTGTCGTCGCGGATGCAGGTTGTGGGGTCGAGAGAATTGCACGAGCACTTCTTGACTAGATCCGCCGGAATAGCGTCGTTGTCACGCCTCTGGTTCGTGGGTGAGCCGCACGCCGTCCAGCAAGGATTCCGACGTGGGTGATCGCGCACCGCTTTTCTCTGTCTGGAAGTGAGCGTTGATCGTTGTTCAGATAATGTCGCCGGTCGGAGCTGCTGCAAGTCGCCGGGGAAACTGCAGGGGTGGGAGCTGAACGTGAGAGGGAGAGGGAGGAAGAACGACGGAGGGAAACGGTTTTTCTTTTTTTCTAATTTTCCCTTTTTTAATTATGATCTCATTAATAAACATAAATTAATTAAATAAAAATGAACCATTTTTTCCAAAATTAATTTAAAATCTATAAACCTTTTAAGTTTTTCAATTTTGAATTAAAAAATAATTTTTAAAGAGAATTAAAAATCAAATTAATTTCTCAAAAGAAACCTTCCAAATTAAAATTTAATTTATTTAAATCTAATTTTCATTTATAATATTTTTTTACCAGAGAGATATAATTAATTTTTTTTTTATGATAATTGATATCTTATCTCCTAAAATATGTTTGATTAACGAAAGATCTGCGATCTTGTGGATTGGGCAGAGTCTAGAAATATTTTAGACTCAACCTCGAGTAGGATAGCTCAAACTAAGTTAAACCACAAAAAAATGGATCGGGTTGGTTCGATTCCATCGGCTATCTTTCTTGTCCTCGAATGAAAAAAAATAAAATATATGTTTATTTTAAACTACTCCGAAACTAAAAGAGAGGAAAGTGATATCACACTTGGGCGAAAGCATGTACACATATAAGAGAGAAGAAAGTTATGTGTAGTGTGGATGAGAACCGTGAAAGCAACCGTGCCCTGAAGCTAAATGAGAAGAAAACCTAAAATCACAAAGATGTTGACTCGAGAGATGACGCAAGAGTCAAACAAAACTCGAAAAATCTTGCTCTTAACTTGGTAAGTCGTATCGATTTTAATCATAAACTTGAAATTTCAACGTCATTGAAATTGGTCTAAAAGTCACCAAGACCACACACGAGGACTTGAAGCCTTCTTACCACTACCTCATCTTAGCTTTATCGACCCCATGCAGTAAGGTCTTGATACTCATACAGCCGAAGACCTAACAAATTCTTGAAATAACAAACAACGATCAAAGAGATGTCAGCACTAGGGGTGAGTCGTTGACCAAAATCATTGACCACAAAGGAACCCCGATTACGAACCACCCGACCCGTAACCACCCTATGAAATCATATAAGATATTAAATAGTATTAATAATTGTTTAATACTTTTAATTAATTATAGATATGTTTTACCACTTTAGAAGAAATTGATAAAATGCATTAAAAATTCCAATCATTAGCACAGTCAAAACTACATAGTTTTCTCCGAACTCAAATGGTCATATGGACAGAAGAATTGCACCAATAGAACATCAAACAGCAATAACAGAGACTTTTTTCACAGAGCTAACTTCATATACACAACAATAACAACAGCCCTTTCAGGTTATTTACTCTCTGAAATTACCACTCTGTAAGGCGTCGTTGTCGTTGTCGTCGTCGTCATCTGCGGAGCAGCTCTAGCGGCATGCTCAGACGCATGGGTGAGACCTTGTAACATTCTCAAGATTTCGTGTGTGTCTTCTAAGTAGTACTTGGCCTTGCTCGGTTTCTGGCCAACGGTGCAACCGAACACTTCGGCACCGGGAGGAAGGGTGGCTTTTGCACTTCTTATCACCTCGAACATATCCTCGTCCGACCTGTCGTCTCCGATGCATAGAACGAAATCGGGAAGCATTCCTTTCTCCTTCATTGTTTGCAAGAGATGTTCTGCTACAATGCCCTTGTTTACACCCTGCCATGTCATTACAAAGACCAGATAAGAACATCATGCCTTAGAAGCAGAATACTACACCCTCAAAACGACCCCTTCTCATAGCTCATCGATTTTTGTGTAATCGAAAGCAAATTCGTCGACATTTCAACACTAGGATCAATCTCAAAGAAGATCGATTTATTGATGAGCGGAAAGAAACATTTCCAAGTTATGACTTGATTGGTTTGAAATTCCCTTTTAACTTTTCGTCGTTTCATGTCTTGATAAACAAGAAAATTCAGGTGCCACCATGGACCCGATACACAACGTGATTACGAGATTTAAGATTGTTAATGTAACAGTTCAAGCCCACTGCTAGCTGATATTGTCTTTTTTGGGCTTTCCCTTCTGAGCTTCCCCTCAAGATTTTAAAACGCGTCTACTAAGGAGAGATTTCCACACCCTTAATAAGGAATGTTTTGTTCCCCTCTCCAACCGACGTGGGATCTCGCAATCCACCCACTTGGAGGCCCGGCATCCTCAGTGGTACACCACCCGGTGTATGGCTCTGATACCATTTGTAACAGCTCAAGCCCACCACTAGCAGATATTCTCTTTGGGCTTTCTCTCACGGTTTTAAAATGCGTCTACTAGAGAGAGGTTTTCACACCCTTATAAGGAGTGCTTCGTTCCCCTCTCCAACCGATGTGGGATCTCACAATTTATCCCCCTTGGGGGCCCAACGTCCTCGTTGGCACACCGCCCAGTATCTGGCTCTGATATCATTTGTAATAGCACAAGCCCACCGCTAGCAAATATTGTCATCTTTAGGCTTTCCCTCAAAGTTTTAAAATACTATGAGAGTTTTCCACACCCTTAGAAAGAATGTTGCGTTTCCCTCTCCAACAATGGGGATCTCACAGTTAACCTCTTTCACCGGTCTTATGCCTACCTCCAGTTTGGAGGTACAGGGACTAAAGTTGAACTTTAAAGAGTAATAAGACTAACCTGAGGTTTGACTTCTACAATGTGTTGCCCACTCTTGACAGAAACTGGCTCATTGGCAAGAACACTTTCCAGGTGATCTAAAAGTTCCTTGGCCTGGCACGACCCGAAATCAGGATCCGCGTAAAGGTAGTTCCAAACGAGCGCACTCTCTTTAGTTTCGATTGTAGAGCCATCGGTTGTCTCGGTATACAATTGCATAACGGGTTCTGCAATCTGTTTCCAGTCAAAATCGGTCACACCTACACACGTCTCCCAATCTGCTGTATGATTTGGCCTGAAAGAAATGCAATCAAAGTCACAATACCTGGTAAGATTAGAGATGAATAGATGAACCGAAATTGCAAAAAGGAAACATCGATTAACCCGACACTCTTACAACTAATTCAATGATAGATTTACGACCAAGGAAGTGTCTCACTTTACACCCTTCCCATTTTGGTGCAATATTATAAGGGGCTGTGAGATCTCACGTCGGTTGGAGAGGGAAACGAATAAGCATTCTTTATAAGAATGTGGAAATTTCTCCCTGACAGACGCGTTTTAAAACCTTGAAGGGAAGTCCGGAAGGGAAAGCCTAAGGAGGACAATATCTGCAAGCGGTGGGTTTGGGCTGTTACAAATGGTATCATTAGAGCCAGACACCAGGCGATGTGCTAGTGAGGAGTTTGAGTCCCGAAAGGGGGGCAGACACGAGGCGGTGTACCAACAAGGAAGCTAGACCCCGAAGGGGGTGGATTGGGGGATGTCACATCGATTGGAAAGGGAAACGAAGCATTTTTTATAAGGGTGTGGAAATCTCTCCTAACAGACGCGTTTTAAAATCTCGAGGGGAAGCTCGGAAGAGAAAGCCCAAAGAGAACAATATTTGCTAGCAGTGGCTTAAGCTCTTACCTGCCGAACTAGGAAGAAATAAGGATTGTAATGTGCAACATACCTAAGATAAAAACCATGTTCTGCAGCTAATCCAAGTTTCTCGCACTGTGAAAACCATTTGGTCAGAGTTTTTCGATCCTTTCCGCTAACGAGAAACACGACATTTTTAGGATCTTTACACAGGTTGTTCAGGATTCCAAGGGCTTCTGAAGTTGGATTCATACTAATCGATCCCGGAAGCATCATGATACCATCATAATCTAACAAAATTGCTCGGTGACAGGTTCGTTTATACACCGAAACGATATGATCAACCGAAAGCTTCCTGAAATTTGGATCCAGGGCAATAACTCGAAATCCTAAACCGAAACCTATGCCCCAGCACCTCCTCATTGAATGGTCTCTGCAAGCCCTGCCCAAATCCTGCAAAAAGCTTCGTGCCCAATACGCAACATCGTGCGTACTAACATACCTATAGTGCTTTTCATGTCGCAGTTGCTTTTCGGCCTCCGGGATTACCAGGGCAGAGTCCATCGCTTCGGTGACAGCTTCAATATTCCAAGGATTAACACGAATAGCACCACTAAGTGATGGTGAACACCCAATAAACTCAGACAACACGAGCATGCTTTTCTTTGGAGTTGAAGGATTTAGCCCGAGAACATTGTCGAGTTCTTCGTTGCCTTGTCGACATATAATATACTCGTAAGGTATAAGATTCATCCCGTCTCTCACTGCTGTAACAAGGCAGCATTCAGCAATTGCATAATAAGCGTTTCGCTCGTAAAACTGCAAGGGAGTGTTGATCAAAACCACAGGCTCATATCCTGGCCTTCTGAATGTTGCATTAATTCTATCCACTGTTGCAGTAGTTTCAGCCATAACCTCCTGTACATCTTTCCCTCTGCCTCGTGCAGGGTTCGCAATCTGTACCAACACAGCTTTACCCCATCTCTCGGGATGTTGTCGGAGCAATTGTTCGAACGCCAAAAGTTTCAGGCTGATCCCTTTAAATATGTCCATATCATCGACCCCGAGCAAAACAGTTTGACCCTTGAACCGCTCTTGCAATTCAGCAACTTTGGATACTGTCTCAGGCAGATTCAATACATTTTGTAGCTGACCGATATGAATACCGACAGGAAGAATCTTAATACTCACCATACGACCGTAGTATTCAAGCCCAATGTAGCCTCGCTTAGATTGATAAGAGAGACCGAGCATTCTGCTACAGCAAGATAAGAAGTGCCTAGCATAATCAAACGTGTGGAAGCCAATAAGATCAGAGTTCAATAGTGCTCGAAGAAGTTCATCTCTTACGGGAAGGGTTCGGTAAATCTCGGACGAAGGAAATGGACTATGTAGGAAGAATCCGAGCTTTGCCCTGTTAAACCTCTTCCTCAAAAATGTTGGCAAAACCATCAAATGGTAATCATGAACCCAAACGAAGTCATCATCAGGACTAATCACTTCCATAACTTTATCTGCAAATATCTTATTCACTGAAAGATACGCTTGCCAAAGCGACCTATCGAATCGACCACCAAGGTCCGGTGACAAGG